ATGTGAACTACGGAACTTTTACGTCCAAAAAAATCATTTTTTTTGACTTCGGCCGCGATTTACACGACAGAGAGCGATTCTCTAATAAGATGTTTCTATGATAGATCGAAACTCTGGTTCTTGGCTACAAAATGATACATTTCACTCCCGTAGTATCGATATTCACTGAGATATTCGTGTTCAAAGTTGAACGTCCGTGAAAAATTTAGTCCGTAAATTTTCGTAATTCTGTCGGAAATTTTGGTTATGTAATAGAAATTTTCCGCTAAATTTTTCACGGACGTTCAACTTTGAACACGAATATCTATGCTACAGAAATGATACACATATCATCTTGTAGCCAAGAACTTCTTTTTCTTTTAATAATATATTCATATATTCATTTTCTTTTTTCTTTTCTTGAAGGAAACCTCTGTCTGTTGATGAAAATTCGGTATGATATCTTTAAATTAATAGAAAATAAAAATAACAAAAATTTAATATTTATAATATTTATTCCTTTATTCTATATTTAATTTAGAAGACTTTTTGCTGTAGATCTGAACTTTTTCTTATGCCTAATTTTACCTGCATTAACTAAAGAGCCGTCAAAAATAAACCGTGAATTTTTGACCAAATTTTCAAACTCAATTGCTCTTTTTCTTTTCAAGAATTAGATATAAGTAAATTTTAGTACTGACAATAGCTTGATTGTGCTAGCAGTATATTTTTTTTTTGAAATAATTTTTTAAAAAATAAAACGATGTATTATTACTCAATATTGTAAAAAACCATATATTAGAAAACCGTGGATCTCAACTAAAATAGCAACCAAAAGTAAACATATTCAGTGGTCGTGGTTGAAGTGGTAGTTTCGCGTGATGGGATAGATGGCTTTAGTGTGGTCGCGTTGAAGAATAAAGGCACTAAGGCAAGTAGTAGTTTTGAAATAAAGGTTCTATTCGACATCGTAGAAGTGAATGGAGGAAAACTATATATTTACATCAAAAACCTACGCACATTATCGGAATATAGCAATATCAACCAAAAGAAGCCATTTTTTCTTTCGATTGATAGTTATGCAGAGTAAAGCACTGTTGTGTAAACTAGGGACGATTATTGACAATGACTTTTTTATGCACAAATTTTATACGCAATTTTTTTGTTTACCATCCCCTAACAATGTATGTGATACATAATAACTTTAAGAAAAATCACAAATTTTGGAAATTTGTCCCTTTGACAATCATCCTTTTTTTTTTTAAATTCCTTCTATAAAATTATTTCAAATATGGTAAATTTAGAAAAAAATATATTAAGCACTTACTTGTTTTTGCTTATCTTTTTAGACAAAAAATGGCAACTAAAATTTCCACAGGAATATTATTTATAATCTTTAAAAACTCAAGATTTATATTCATTATTATTAATCTGGTGTAAATTTGCTATACCTACTTTGGGAATTAGAACTTTAAAATGGATTTGATTTACCATCATCACCTGATTATCTGTCATTTACTCATAAATTTATAAGAAAATTACTAAAGCTCACCAGTAATGATTGTCACCACTGGGCAAAATTAAATATACGTAGGCAAAGTTAGGGTTGGGGTTGATCAGGGAATTATGTAATTTTGCCTGACGGTGACAATTATCACCGGTTAGCTTTAGCAATGCTTCATATACTCAAATTGAAAATATTATTTCGTGAGATATGTAAATTAATAATAAATCGTTGTTCATTTTTGGATTATTTTAAATGACGGATGTTTTCTAATAATTTTTTAGAAATTTTGGAAAGTTTAAAACGGTTGAAAAATCTATAACGGCTATTTTAATCATGATCCATTATATTGGGCTATTGTCAGTCAAAAAGAAATTTTATCAAATATAAATGGAAACGTTTGCAAGTATTTTCATCGAGATTTCACTATAAAGATGATTAAAAATATTAGATTCTTGGCTATTTTACATAACGCTGGCATTTTATTAATATCATTAATTCATAATAATTGCCCTGACATTATCATTATTCTCATAATATAAAATATTACGACAGTTTCGGTATTTATACGAGACCATTTTGAATTTAAACCAGAATATTTCGGCGGATATCGATGCTATAGGGATGAAGTACATATGTATCTTGTAGCTCAGAATCAGGGATTTTTGATCAGTCATAAAGAACACCAAGCTAATGGATAATATCCAGCTAAATGTTATCACTGCGATACTACTTGGGCACGTGGAAAGCCGTTAGTTATGAAAGCACCATCAATTACTGGCGATAGTATTCCTGTCAGACAGCAAATGACAGGAGTAATTAACCCTAAAGGAATTATATACATATTTGGTGGATTTAATATCACTAATTTAACTTCACAAGCTGGAAGGACTTATGATGAAATGAATATATTGAATACTTCTTCAATGAATTGGAAAAACATAAGCGTAGTAATTAATCGTCCTTTACCAGGCAGTGACTATTCAGCTTGTATTTTACCAAATGGAATTATAGTTTACATTGGTGGGCAAGAAGAAATTTCTCTTGATCTACCTTCCAATCTTGTAAAAATGAAAAATGTAAGTAATTTAAATATAAACTGATGAATTGTTTAAATTATATTCATAAATATTAATATTAATATTATTGTCAAATAGCTTAAACTCTTTGATACAACAATAGATGAATGGTCATCTATGGTATTTATTTGATATTAGTTTATATAAAATAAATATAATATAATAACTTATTTATAATATTTAATTCTAAGGACGCCGTTGGTGCAGATGTTGACCCAAGATGGATTTTTTCTTCGGTATTAAGTAAATATTTAAATCATTTTTTATTTCTGAAACTTAAAAAAAATTATATTATTTAAAGTAAAAATTTTCATATAGCGCCAGATGGACGTATTATTATATTTGGGGGTTGTACATTCAATAATACTGGCGTTAGCCCAAAACTTGCCGTATTAGATACAAACAAAAATCCATATGAATGGTCGATTCCAAGTAGTTCCAACGTTAATTCTCCACCATCTATTTATGGACATACAGCAAATTTATATTATAATTATATGATAATTACATTTGGTAAGTAAATATGTAATAATTTCATTTTCTATTATAATAATGACATTTATCTAATTTTTTTTTTTTTAGGATACGACATAGATAACGAAACGTATAATTCGCAAGTATATCTTTATGATATAAAGAATAATGCGTGGGTTACACATTTTGACCCTCCTTCCTCTCGTAACCTGTTGCTGATCGGGCTTGTAACGGGAATAGGTGCGCAGTAATAGTTTGATATGCATTGCAATTTTTGTTTTTTATAAAAGAAGAAATAAGATTATTCAATTATCTGGCACTGGTGGCAGTGGTTAAATCTTAGAGTTTTTGAAATCAGAAAATTCGCATATTTGCAAATTATAAATTGTTGTTAGAAAAATTCGTACGAATTGCATCTTTTAAATCACAATTTTCATATTACAATGATTCTATTATCAAAAGCCCAATTTTTAATTTTTGTTTATCTCAAAAATATTGATACAATTACGCATTTATCAGAATATATATTTTAAGGATATAAATATAATGTGACTTGAACATATGTACTGTACACTGCTATTTTGATAAAACAGGAAGTTCTCATAAATAAACGACAAAATCGAGAAGGAAAAAAATTCAATACATTTTTTTTAATTAATTTATAAATTATTATCGAATTATCTAGTGAGAAATAATATTAAACAAAAAAAAATTGTCATTAGTAGCGGTGACCTTGTAAAGTGAGTGAAAATGCAAATATTTTTCAAAATGAATATTTTCTAATTATTTAAGATTTTCTAACAAGCATAATTAACGATAGAAAAGCGATCTGATTTAGTTATTATAGGTTTTTCATAATAAGCACCATTAATATCGAAGCAATTTAAGTAAAATCAGATTATTCACTATGTAAGAAGAAATCTCAGAAACGTTAACTAACCTTATTTTGATGACATTTATCAAATTAAATTTTACTCTTCAAAGAATAGAATTTTTGAATATTACCATTTTTTGATGAGAAAATAAATCTATCATTTGTTTCCATCCAGACACGTAATAACCAATATAAGAATTATTCCATTCTAAAGGATTATAACCTCCAAGTATCTCATCAGTCCCTTTAACTTTCGTTACTACACTGTTTTGTCATGACCATGGGAAATATTCCAGAATGTTTGTGGAGCAAGCCTATCTATAATTCTACAAAAAATTAATTCAAATTTATATGGAATATTTGGTATGGAATCCAACTAGAAATTTAATGATTGAAAATGGTTCTTTAGGTTCTCCTGAATGAGGAGGTAATTCTGTAACCAAAGTGAATTTTGCTTGCAAGATAATTGATTTAATTGGTCGGTCAGGGACTACCAGATGCTGGTTGATATTTAAACAAGGTCATTTATCGAGAAGTTCTTTATAAGACCTAATTTTATCGAAAATTTCTGTGTTTGAAATATTAAAATAGCAAATAAGTGGTAGACATTGTAGCGAAGTGGTTATTAATATAGAAATTTTTCTTGG